AATATGTTCATAGACAGCACAATATAAACTTTCCCATAAATCATGATCAATTTAATGTTTTACAACTCAAATCGTAAAGTCACGATGAAAGAATTTGAAACTATAATCCAAAAAAATATAGGTGACAAATCAACAATTAAATATCTAATATATTATAATAAACTATGTGAAATGGTTTGATTGTTTCTTTGCTTTCAAGTTTTGTTGGATTTGGTTAAGTGGCATTGGGTTCTTGCAAATTCTATGACCGTGGCCAAATTTACCACATTTTCCATATTTCACAATTTGTGATCTTTCATGTGCTAACTTCCTCCTTGTCTCAGTAGGATGCCTAGAACTTCTTTTCTGATTTGGGACAAGCACAGTTATGTTCTTTACATCGTCAGGAAAAATCCATTCTGCTCTAATGCCTACAGGTATAACTGTCTCTCTGTAAGTATTCACATACGCATTCGTTTTGTAATAATTCGAGCAGAAATCATAAACGTCAAGCTTCAATATTGCAAACACTGCTAGTGCATGTGGACACGAAAGTTGATCCACTTGAAATATTCTACAATTGCATGTGTGTTAAGTCATATCAATCATATATGATGAAGAATTATCTCGCACTTCAAACAAATTGTGACTTGTTGGAAAAACTTGAAATCAAATAAACTAGTTAGTTACGAGGGCTACAGTTATAAATGTGACAATCATAATTTTATGTGTTGAGCATTGTATTTACTTTTAAATTTTGCAGATTTTGCATATCATGGCTCATTTCCCTCAAAATCTTTTCGTAGGTGGTGCAAGCTTTGTGAAAGTACTATGTGCATTATCCATATTCTTGCAAAATCAAGATTGGACCATTTTCATTAATGACTCAAGAAGTGGTTCAATAAGGTAATTTTTGGCTGCCTTTGTGACTGCATTTACAGATTCAACCATGTTCGAAGTCATAGTAAAGTATCAATTTGTTGGCATGTGCAATCTGGACCATCTTTCATATCCAACGTCCAACTACAAAATAAATATAGTTCATTCATATTATAATAAAATAATGTATTATTTATAATAAATGAAATACAGTTCATGCATTAAACAGACATGCCACGGATAGTAACACTACATAATATTATGGAACAAGTCACAGGCAGTTATGGTATAAGTTATAGACAGTCACATACCATATATCCTCTGATCTCTTTATTGACTGAGCCCAATTCTTACATTTGATATTCACATTCATCCATTGTATACGCTCGTACGACAGCATTGAATGCATGTGTGACATTGTGACCTAATTTTGCATAATGGGTCTTCAAATTTGGAAGTAAATGGTATGAACAAATCACATGCATTGCCTCTAGATATACGAATTCAATAGCATTTCTTATGCTGTTGTGTTTATTCGATACTATACATAATCCGTCTCTCGATCCATATGCCCTCTTCAACATGTCAAGAAAACCATCTCCATGACTTATCATTTTCATTGTCCCTAATCCCAAAAGCTAGTATGAAGATTTTGTTGTTTGCATCTTGTGTACAAAATCGTAAAGCGTATACCCCTATAGTGACCATTTAAATATGTGCCATCAACTACAATGACTGGCCTACAATATTTCCAAGTGACTGTCCCCGTGTTCATTCGCTCTAGCATAAAGAAATAAGAAGGCGGCAATTGAAATGATGTCGTTGGATCACCTCTAATCAACTTTAATGTCCGTTCACGTGACCTCCATACCTTCATGTAATTCATTGATACTCTATATTTTTGTAACATGTCATTCGAGATATCATTAGGGGGTGTCTATTGTACGTGAAGAAGTGTATTTTTACAAGATGCAATTTGACACTACTGAGGTAGATGCTTGTTGATGAGATCCTAAAACAATATTCATCGAGCATGTGTGAACATTAAAAATTCCCCTGATCTTAAACATTTTCGTTTCTCCCAAGCGAGAAGATCTAAATATCCACTTGTAATCGTCATGCAAACACTTTATCACGTGTTTCTTCTTGTCCAATTTCAACACCTTATATTCAAATTTGTTTTGTATGGCATAGAAGGCCAAGCTCATTTTCAATATTTCCTTGTTGCGAAAAACATTTCCCTTCACTACTTGTATAGCATTTGCTTCAGATACCAATGTCACATCTTCAATGCTTTCTTTCTCAACGATCACAACTGAATCACAGATATCTTGAGCTATTTGTGATAAAGAAAACATATTAGCCGATGACTCAATGGAAGTAGTCGACAACTCTGGGCATTGCAATGCACAAGTTGACTGCCATGAATTTGCAGAGATAACATCAATTGTAATAGGATAATTTGATACAATCTCATCCAAAGATTTTAGCCTGACACACTTTAAGACATTATTATTGCTCAGTATTCGAACTGGAGGTGAAGTACAATTAAAAGAATATATTAATCTCATAGCTACTTCTGATGATTAAGCCCAAATTCTGAAATAACAAGGTCAATCAATTCATCATACTTGCACGAATCATTCACTAGTATAAGCGATGTGTGACCTCCGTATAATAGGCAAACGTGCAAAATTGCCATCCCTGATCACACACAGATAACAGCATATTACACTTCATTTACTAAAACCAGGAAACATTCAGATGTATGTAATGACATTGATCAATGCAGGCCACTGATGAAGAAGTCACAGATAGGATCATACAGACTACAGAAGTTATTTAATGCAAATATATTCACATAAGGTCAACAAATATAGGGTCGCAGAGATTTAATTTTCAATGCAATGACATTGATCACAGAATAAAATAATTTTAGTTATGGACTGTCAAGACATTTAACATATAGGCCACAACCTATTTAATTCGATAGTCACAGTTGACAGCAACATGGATAAATATGAATGAATCACATAAGCAGCCATAGATAGTTACAGATCAACATGTTCATAATTGTAAATTGAAAATAAAAATTGCATACTACCAATGATTAATGAAAACACACGTCACACACTGGGCAAATTATATCTTATTTTTAACAGCGAGAAAACTCTGATTATGTTTGGATAAATGTTTCATTAGCTTTGAAAACATCAGTTTTTTCAAAATCATAAGCTATATACTAAGTAATTCTAAGCTTACCTTCGAAGTCAGATCACAAAACTTTGATTTTTGTTTCAAGCAAATCCAATTCTTCCACAGTTCAGCTTTGACTTTCTCCAATTAAATGAAAATTAGTAGTATATCGACAAGATTGTGACGTTATTGATCGATTGTAGCTTGAAATTGAGGAATAACATTGAAATTTTCGTGATGTGTGGAGAGTTTTTGGTGAATCTGTTGTGTAGAGAGAGAGAGAGAGAGAGGAGAGTTTTTGTGGAACTCGTTTTGTAGAGAGAAAAAATCTTGTTTGATTATGGTTGGAAAGTAATAAATATTTTTAAATATAGTATATTAACTAATTTGTAGGAGATCATAATTTTTTATCCAAATTTAGTGTATATTACATTATGTATTTATATATTTAATATTTTCAATTTATCACATGATTTATGAAAGTTTTAAGAGAGTTTGTCAATTGTGAAATTTGTTTTTATAATGTAGTAGTCATGTGGTTTTCCTATATATTAACCTTAGCCTTGTTAGCATCCCTCAACCCAGCTACGCACAAACAAGCCCAACTGTTTTTTCAAGATCACAATGCAAAAGTAAGGTGTACAAATTTTTCATTCATAATTTAGGTATTGACTTAACAATTAATATTAATGATATCAATATAAAATATATCAATCCTATTTCATCCCAATCCAATTACAAACCTTAAAATTCAAATTCATTTCTCTCCATTTCTCCCTTCTCACTCTTCCCACTTAACCCACTCCTCAGGCGGCACCACCCACTCCAGGAGACCGCCACCGTAGCGTGCGATAGAGAAGAGAATTTCTATAATTTGATTTGTCAATTTGTGAAGAAGAGGTTAAAGAACATAAAGGAGAAGAATCGAAACCATCAATGCTTCACTCCCAGAGATCGCTGCCAGCAGCAGGGCGATGAGGAGAGGATTCTGTAATTTGATTCGCTGGATTACTCATTTGGATTTGTGAGGAGAATTCCTGTGATTCGATTTGCCGAATTAGTCAACTGGATTTGCAAATTTCTATAATATTTTTCTTTTCACCAGTAAACACGCTGTAGTGGTGATATGGTGCCTGTGTGGTCGATGGTGATGTTGTTTATGTAGTGGGGGTTTTGTGGTGGTGGATCTAGCAGTTGGGTGGGTTTTATTGAATTAGGCAGTCGTTTGGAGATGTTTTTGTGGTGTTGGGGGTTTTATGTGTTTTTATTGGTTGTTCAAGAAGAGGTATTGGCGATGATTGTAGATCTGGCAACGATTTTGTTAGTGATACAAATGGAGGTGTTGATAGAGATGGTAGTGGTGTTGTGGTGTTGGCGAGGGTGGCCGCAAATGGCGGGATTGTTGGTGGCGGTGGTGCCCAACTATTGTTGTGTTGTTGTTAATGGCGGTGGTAGTGGTTGTTGCAGTAGCGATGAGGGTGACATGTGGGGTGTCTGTGACCAAATATTTAGGCTTGTGTGACCAACTATTTGGCTGATTTACGACTAAATAATAGGTGTTTGTGATTCAAAAATAATTTGTGACCAATAAATTGTGACTTATGTGACTCATAGATAAAATGTGACATGTAATTTGAATAATCCGTGGCCTCGAAATAATATGCGACTTACAAAATTTTTGATTTGTGACCACGAAAAAATCTGTGATCAATTAATTTGACGATATGTGATCAGTAGATAAATTTGTGGCCTATAATTATGAACTTGTGATCATTAATCATGTAACTGTGACTTAATTATCTTTATTTAATAAATATTATTAATTAATAAAATACATATCTAATTTTTAAATTTTCAAACTATTTATCTGCTTTTTGAATTGGGGTAAACATGAGACATGGAATTTGATTATTTCCCATAACCTTAGCCTTATTAGCAACCCTCAACCCAGCTACACACAAACACGCCCGACTTGAAAACAACACAACGGGCCCACGATCTAAACATAGCCAACCTACATGACATAACGCGACCCAAATCTTTTGCATAACCTCGCCGCCTCTGGCTCGCCTTCGGCCCATCTTCAACCGCCGTTCACCTATCACCAGCAGAACACCACCTCTTCATTATCCTATTATCGACCAGCAACCTCTTGACCAGGCTCTGGTTCTATTGGCCCATCTAATAATGTGTTTGGGGATTTTTTGCGAACATGGGTTGCAAGCATATTTGGAGCTTTAGATTCTTTCACCGTGCAGCTTGAAATTGGTCGCTTGGGGCACTGTGTGGCTCATTTGTATCTCGTGAGGTATACCAATTTTGATATTTGAAAGCTTTACTTTCTATTTCTGTGTTTATGGCCTGTCAAATTCCAAAAATGAAAAATTAAAAAAATTATTAAAATTCAACACAATCTCAAGTGAGGACACCCCTTTGACGAGATCTTTATAAAACTCGTGGAAATCTATTTAAATTCACGAAATCTATTAGGACTTATAATATTTTAAAATCCATCAAAATTTTAGTTGAGGTCACCACGTTGGAATAGAATATTTGAAACGGGGCCTTTTGGTTGTAATAAAGAGAACTTTTGATAATGAAATAAACTCATATTTTCTCCAATTTCTCTCTATTCTCTCCCACTTCTTCTCTAATTTCGCTATCCTTTCTCTTCTCTCCCCTTCTTATCCTACAATTCTTCCTATATATCCAACGTCAATAGGTTTGGGCTTTCCTATAGAGAACAGTACATAATTTAATGGTTTGGATATAGAGATTGAGTTGAGCCGTTACAAAAAATAAGCTTTTTATTTTTTGTTGCAACCGGGCCTCGTGCCCAAGCCGTTATATCATACGTATCGTTCGCTTTGGGAGAATATAGCCCATTTTGAGGTTTAAAAACTTAAAAATGTTGAAACTCCACAGAATGTTTGAGGGATCATCTTTAAAATTCGACACCTTTGACATTATAGGAATAGAAAAATTGGGATAGTGGATCTAACCTTCAATCTAAGAAGTTTTTGAAAGGGCCTTCTCTCCAATATGGTACATCCATTTGGGAAATTTATAATAAATGATCAATCTTCATTTTGAACCACACATTTTAATGGATCCAAAAGTGCTATCCACTTATTTATTCGTTATTTCTATCTGTTTAAAAATTAACTATTTATAAATTATTCTTAAAACGGAGGCTTATCAATAATTTTACCATATTCAAGAAAAGGCTTACTTGAATACTTCTTGGCTTGATGCTAGATTTAACGTTAAAATTTTAAATGGTGACAAATGTAGTGACCAGTGCTAAACAAAAAGGTTGTTTTAGTGATTAATTTGAAATAAATTAAAGTCTAGCGACAAACATGAAACAAAACATAAAAGTTGGACGACTAATTTGAAACAAATTAAAGTTGAGTGATCAAATTGAAAACTGACCATAAGCTTTGAAGGATAACTATCGCTTTCACTTGGCTCCATTTAGAAAATTGGAATTGCAGTTTCAAAAACTGAACAATATTCCTGGAGAAGATAATTCACTAATTTCCTCCATTTGCATTTGGGGAAAGAGTTAATCTTCTACTTATTCAAATTGTTAATTAATCTTTACTACTTTCAAGCACAATAGCTTTGATGTTGTGAAATGCAGTACAACCGAATTTCCATGCCCCCTGTTTGACAGGATGCCTCAGAGAGAAATACCTAGTTTATTTCTCCTTTCCTTTCTATGTAAATGAAACTGTGAGTAACTCTATTATGAGAACTATTAAATTAAGTTGCTGAGATTAACATACTGGTGGATATTGAAATTAATAGATATTTGAAAATTTTAGTGGAGCCTTGGGTGTTGTGTGAAGAACTATGAGAAATAGTAAACTATAACATGGATAAGTTAGTTTAGCTTTGGAGATAGAATAATAATTTTATCATTTCTGAATTAAGATAGAATCCATGATAATTTTTGAAACCATCATCAAATTTTGGTTCCAAAGGTTGCTCAAATTGATGCAGAATATTGTCAGGTTACACAACTTCAATGAAATGTAGTTAAACTTATGATGCTGACTTGAAACTACATCACAGAGTTGGATTTATTAGATATATGATCCTTATGAGAGACAGTTCTCATTAGCTACCTGCTAGGATAGCTATTTGATCACATGTAATGCAATGTGGTGCCTATGGAAGCAACATATCAACTGCTCTTGGGTTTTTGTCAAATATCCCCCCCCCCCTCTCTCTCTCTCTCTCTCTCTCTCAAGCAAATATCATTAGCAAGTAGGATTTTTTTCCCTGTTTTCCTCTTACTTTCCTTGCTTCCTCTGTTTTTTTTTTTTTCCCAAGCATTCATTGTTGTCATCTCTAGGGCTTGTAGCAAATGGAAGTGGCAAGACGCAATTGTTGTAGAATTATGAGCTTTAACATCCAACTCAGTCGCTTCTTCTCTTGTGGTCCTTTTGACCCCCCTCCCCAAATACCTTCTCGCAGGGTGGTTGTCACAGGTAACATCTCCACCTAAAGTTTCTTTCTATTCTCCATCATATGTGGTCTTATGCATGATAATGCATCAAAGTTCCAATGGAGAGCAAAATGGAAGATACCACATGCATGCCCCTACTGGGATATCAAAGCTCATTCCTTTTATTTCTCTTCTTAATATTGTTTTGACTTTTGAAAATGCTTGTCTTAACAAAAACTCTTGCATAAGCTTCTTACCCATTGGATGTGATGGTGAGGTTGACTCATTTTCTCTGAAACTTGGTGCACAAAATTTTAAAACAATGATACAGGGCACAACCATTTGTTTTAAGAAGTTGTTGGATTTTCTTGCATAGCTCTTATTACATAAGCAAATGCACATTATATCTTCTTTTAAGTTTGATAACAATCTTGTCTTCAGATTCTCTCTCTCTCTCAAGCAAATATCATTAGCAAGTAGGATTTTTTTCCCTGTTTTCCTCTTACTTTCCTTGCTTCCTCTGTTTTTTTTTTTTTTCCCAAGCATTCATTGTTGTCATCTCTAGGGCTTGTAGCAAATGGAAGTGGCAAGACGCAATTGTTGTAGAATTATGAGCTTTAACATCCAACTCAGTCGCTTCTTCTCTTGTGGTCCTTTTGACCCCCCTCCCCAAATACCTTCTCGCAGGGTGGTTGTCACAGGTAACATCTCCACCTAAAGTTTCTTTCTATTCTCCATCATATGTGGTCTTATGCATGATAATGCATCAAAGTTCCAATGGAGAGCAAAATGGAAGATACCACATGCATGCCCCTACTGGGATATCAAAGCTCATTCCTTTTATTTCTCTTCTTAATATTGTTTTGACTTTTGAAAATGCTTGTCTTAACAAAAACTCTTGCATAAGCTTCTTACCCATTGGATGTGATGGTGAGGTTGACTCATTTTCTCTGAAACTTGGTGCACAAAATTTTAAAACAATGATACAGGGCACAACCATTTGTTTTAAGAAGTTGTTGGATTTTCTTGCATAGCTCTTATTACATAAGCAAATGCACATTATATCTTCTTTTAAGTTTGATAACAATCTTGTCTTCAGATATGTCTGTTGGAACTGACAAACCTGTTTCCGTTCATTTTTTTCCGTAGTTAGTCAAAGAGATTAAAAAGTTCTATTCATCACCTGCTAAGAAATTTGGAGGATGCAGTTTAGTTAGTAAATAGTACAACAATTCTTTCATTTTCAATCTCTCTAAAATACTCATACGCTAATCTTCGGACCCCCCGAAAATACTGTGAGGTGCTTGGAAATGGTCGAAGTAATTGAATCCTTTTTTCTGTTGTTAAGGTGGAGAACTGAACCCAAAATTCTCGCACATTTGCGCAGATTCTTGTTGAGGCACATTAAAGAATCATCATGTAAAGCTGAACCATAGACCTTATTTGATGTATTATGTGAGAGAGTTCAATTCTTCTCAGTCTTCAGATGAAAAAGCTTAGACAATGGTTTCGTCTGTTGTCATGAGAAAAAGAAAGTGTACAAATGTGCTATAGATAAAGAAAATAAATTTCATAGAAGAACGCAAACAAAAAGTTTTCACTGCAATTGCAACATCAGTTAATTGCATTAGTCTTCCAGACGAAGAGTTGAAGTTGAGTCATCATTCTTGTGCTTAGTATTAATCAATAAAGATTTAACACGGTCAAACCAAAAGAAACGTGAGCAAATATGCAATCCCAAAATTATGAGTATTTATGGATATCCCAATTTTTCAAACAATTTTGCCAAGCAACAGCATTCATATCCATTAGTGGAGGATAATGTGGCAGACTCTTGGTTACCTGTGAGTGGAAGTATATTTTGCCTTTTTGTCCTGGGTGAATATAAAGGTGAGATTGAAATGACATTATTTCATGCTTTGAATGGAAGCTCAGATTTCCCAGTTACACCAAATTGAAAAATGTAAACCTCGTCTATTCTTATTAGTAGAATATAAGATTCCATGTGCACATCCAATACAAACACACATATGAATGTGATTTTTTCATACATATATAGAGAAATCAGAAATACGTTTGTAATATCATATTGCTTGCACATACAAATGCATCTACATGTGTGTATCTATGTACGGATGTATGCATATCTGTATCTAAACATGAATATTTGTATAATGCTTATATATAGTTGTATTATCAACCAACAATTCACAATGTTCTTGTCGTAATTACATTTGCCTTATAATTCAAGATCAAATAAAGTTCTGTGTTGGTGGTGATGTTACCTCAGGTTTAGGGATGGTTACACCATTGGGTTGTGGTGTAGAAACTACATGGAAACGTCTATTAGAAGGGGAATCTGGAATAAGGGGGATAACTGTTGAGGATCTCAAGATGAATGGGTTTGATAGAGACACACAATTGCATACATTTGATCAATTAACATCCAAAGTTGCAGCAGTTGTGCCCTGTGGAACCAACTCACATGAATTCAACGAGGAGCTGTGGCTTAACTCTAAGGTAATAATACTAATTAATTATTGCAGTCAGTTTAAAAATGGATTGGGCCACTTGGTTAATGCTATTCTGAGTCCAGCTTCATTTGTAGTTAATAAAACTAAGAATTGAATGTTTATAGGATGATGAAGACCTAAAAAATAGAAATTTGGTTTTGAACAGAATGTTCATGGTCTAAGAAGAAAGGTCAGTTTTAAAATTTCTTCCCCTAGGAGCTTAAAAGTTGATATCATTTTGAACAATCTTATTGACATTGATCCTAGATTTCACAAAAGGAAACTGTGGGAATGGCTAGAATAGGAGAAGAAAACTGTAAACTCTTGCAAGTACATGGGCAAAAAATATGATACCAGTTCTTTATATCTTGCAACTAAGATTATAGTTGGAGAGATAAAACCCAACAAAATCAACTACTTTTTATTAGTTTAAGGTAAATCAACTTCTAATAATATAAACATAAACTCATGACCACTTGAATAAGTTTTAGCTTGTTCCATCAAAATTAAGTTATTATTAAAATACATATGCTCTCAAATGATGCTGGTTCTGTGCTGTGGCATGCCAAGTGCTGCTATATGTTTTATAACACACTCAAATCTTTTGATGACCAAAACAAGAAAAAGAATAAAAACAAGGATGATCTATTTACGACCCTGCATGGGATTTGCTTAATCATACATAGTGCTAGGTGGACTTCTCTCTGGTGGAAGTTGGAAGGCTCCAGGTGGATTTATTTGTTTCTTTAGTGCTTGCCACCTTTTCCATCGACCCATCTTATGATCATGTAATGATTTGGAGACTTGACTTCTGAATTTTGTGAAGGATCATAGATCTATTGCCCGGTTTATAGGCTATGCATTATGTGCTGCTGATGAGGCACTTAAAGATGCAAATTGGATGCCTACCAATCAGGATGAGAAGGAAAAAACGGTATTTGTTCATTTTATACTGATAACAAAGGGTATTTCATTTGGGTGTTGTTAATGACTTCATTTCTAACTTCAAGATCATCAGGGAGTTTCCATAGGTGCAGGGACTGGTAGCATCAGTGATGTATTGGATGCTTCGAGAATTATCTGTGAGAAGGTTTGCCTGTCTTATTTTATTATTATTATTATTTTTTTACTGATTGATAGTTTTCCTAATTCTTGGTAATTTCTGGTAGTAGTCTCCACCAAAAATTTTTAAAGGGTTTGCGAAGCTCAGAAGCAACGAATATCCTCTGTTAATTAAGATTGAATTTTCCCTATTTTTGTACTATTACTTTCTATATCTACATAATACCCTTTTAAACTATAAAAAAAAATGTTAGTGAAACGTTTCTTTTTTCTTTTCTGATTGCAGCACCTACGCCGGCTCAGTCCATTTTTTGTTCCTAGGATACTGATTAACATGGCTTCTGGCCATGTTAGCATGAAGTACGGATTCCAGGTTTGCATTTTAATGTCTCAAGTCATTTGAAAAGACATGAAAGCTTAAAAAGATGCATCATTAGGTAGATCTCTCATGTGACCCTAAAGATTATGATCTTAGAATGTTATTGATAATTTATATTTTCTTCTGCTTCTTATCTATAAGATAAAGGTGGCCTAAATTTATTAAATAAATAGATTAGAAAGAACGAGTGAGAGAAAACCTGGTGACTTGTCACACATATATTTAATTATTTTCTATTATATATAAGATATAGTTGCATATTCTAGTCTTGATTTTGAATCTAGGGACCAAACCATGCTGCAGTGACTGCTTGTGCTACTGGGGCCCATTCCATTGGTGATGCTGCTAGGATGATTCAATTTGGAGATGTGGATGTCATGGTTGCCGGAGGAACGGAGGCAAGCATTGATGCTTTGTCTATAGCAGGGTTCTGTAGGTAATGTTTCTTAAAAATTTGGCATCTTACCATTAGTCCTTGTGAATCTCATAATGACCAAGTAATCCACCCCTACACCAGAAAAGGAGACACGAAAGATGCAGTTCAATTTTGTTATTCTATGAAGCAGTTGCTACGGCATACTCAGCTGAGTCAGAATGTGCTCTTTGCTAATGCTTACAAAGTAGATGGTTGATAGGTCAATTTCTTAGATTATTTTAGAAAGGAATTTCCAAAGAATTCAAAATGGTTTAGATGCTGTTGTTACTTTTTTCACATCATGGATGTTTGAAAGACCGTATGCTAATGGACTTTTAGTTTGATGTATAATCACGTTCCATATACTACCTTTGAAATTTGGATTTGGTCTCCTTGGAGCTCATAGCCAACTCCAGATTGGAAATAAAATAAGCGAACCTTTTCAGAATGCACCTAATCTTTGGAAAATGGAAAAGGCCAAAGTAGAATGAGGGAAAACTACTTGAATCTTCTACAGTTGAAGGTAGGGAAGAGAAATCTTAGAATTTGGGAAACTAGCTGGGAATCTTTCTCGTAAAACATTGAGGGTCTCTTTGATTGGAGTGAATTCCATAGAAAATGTTAAATTTGAGGAATTCGTTTTGTACTTTGGCCGTTTGATATGAAAGTGGAAATGGAGTTCGAATTTCAGAGTACAAACACTTGAAGCATTTTTTGGCCAATTCTATGAGAAATGCATTCCTATGGTTTTGATGGTTTTTCTTTTCCAACTTACATTGAATTGTTTTGCCTTTTCCACCTTCGCAATCATACGGGCCCAAAAAGAAATGAAATATAAAAGACAAAAAGGTAATGTAGTTTTATAGAATTTTGATCATGTTCCTATATGTTCATGTCCTACTTATTTTTGGAAAAACAAATATTGGTGAGTCTGTTGTGTCTATGTCGCATATCCTTGTCCATTCTTCACAAACTCCACCTGATCTTCATCCCCATCACCACAGTAGTAGCCTGTACTTCTACCATCTCCCAATCCACTGTTTCCATCAATCCCCCCAAATCCACCACCATTTTTTGAACTCATTGGTTTTGGATGGGGTGAGCTTGATTTGATCCTTCGTCTCAAAAAAGCTTTGTCAAACCCTCTAATTTCCAAACTGTCATCTTCAATCTCCTCGCCATTGCGAGCCCAAAACCTCCCATTAACTCAGTATCAAATCCAAAGAGGAAGGCGATAGAATTTGCATTTGAAGAAGTCGGGTTTTCCAACTAATTTAAAATCCTAGCCAACTCTGGATCAACAAAATGCCGTAATTATCTTTAACCCCCAACCTCTGTTCTATTGACCTGCAAGGAGGTGTTAGCTGTTGTATTGATTTATTTCCACACTTTTTTCTTTATCTATTTTTTGAAAAATTATTTTAATGGTTGTTTATGGATTGTGATGACTGCGTTGGAGCCTACAACTAAATATATAGAACCATGCAAACAGGCAATCAAATTGAAAAATTATTTGTTACCTCAGTCCACCAATGCCCTATTTTAGCCTATATGGAATAGATACTGCTAATCTTTTGTTGCTCTTTGTATCTTAACATTTCTGGGCTAAAAGATGATAGATTTTCTTAGAGGTACAGGTGTGATGGTGTTTGGGGTATTGTGAGAAGTGACGGTATTGATGTTGGTGCTAATCGTGGTTTTGATACTTGCTGGAGGTGTCGGTAGAGTTAGTGTATGATTTCGTGGTTACAGTAGCAGATGGAAGCACTTGGTTAGGATGGGGTTAAAGGAAGTGCTGGTGCTTCTGGCAGTTGTTCGGTGGTTACCAATGAGTGTGTGTGTTGGTGTTGAATGAGGAAGCTCGACTGATTTGTTTCCATTAAAGCTAGCTGAATTAATTTTAATTATATACTTTATGAATTCCATAATTTTTCATATACACATTTCATTGACTTTTAACAAAATTTACTCAAAATCTGATTTTAATCTCTGGGATAAATTTTCGACAAAGAGAGGCTCGGTCTTTCAACTCAACGATCCAAAATAAATGACGTTCGTAAAAATGTTTGGACAAGGCAACGGGGGCCACAGCCTTCAGCCAATAATGTGTCTCCTCTGGTTGGCCAGGGGCTGTAGTAATAAATGCCTTTCATAAAACGGCATCCCTTCCAAGTCAAGCAATAAAAATCCCCCACCTAAAAACGCCAGTCAAATTTACCACACCAGCCCCCCCCCCCCCCCCCCCCCCTTCTTTTTCTGAAAATAAAAATGAGAAATTGCACAGATTATACCTTCTACTTAAAAACCTATCCAGGAAAAACGAAGCCAACTTTGCGATTGGAGAAAGTAATACTTATCAGTAGTTGAAGGAGTATGCTGAGGATTTCATCTTTTTTGGGAAAAATAATGTGCAGGATATTGATATTGAAATTATTGAGGTATAACTTAGTTGTATATAATTATGAACACACAAGTATGTTGTGGAATGAAAAGTGGTCTAATTGAGTGTGTTAATGCTGCCTAATTTATACAGGTCAAGGGCATTGACGACTAAGCATAATGGTGCTCCTCGAGAAGCCTCGAGACCTTTTGATTGTGGCCGTGATGGATTTGTGTAAGTAATGGTTGTGACATTGAGAAGTTTTCTCCAGAGTACTAAATAGCTCTTGAATCTCAAATCCTCTCAACTTATAAATCTGACACAATACAGGATAGGTGAAGGTTCTGGTATCCTGGTTTTGGAGGTGAGTGCTGTTACAAGTACATTAAAATGCATGTCTGTTTTACGATTAAAACAGAATGAAGTTGGTTTTCTATAATTAAAAGGTTTACGATGTGCTAATCAATTTGTCTCAAGAGTAACCTTGATGTACCTAATCTGGTTGCATAAACAGGTGTATCGACGATGTTATGAGAAATCTAAGATTAGGATTTAAATGGTGCAATGAACTATAAAGAACCCCATGAATTATTGGATTATTGCAACCCATGATAATGTGTGGCGCTTTGTTATGTTGTATGTTCTTCTATCTGAGCAACCTTTTATCGTGCACATTATTATTTTAATCTTTTAAGGAACTGGAGCATGCAAAGAAACGAGGGGCTAAACTTTATGCAGAGGTCCGTGGTTATGGGATGTCAGGTTACTTCTACAGATATTGTCTTTTTTCACCCTTCGATCTATTTTTTGATTTTATTTAACACTAGATAGTGTTATTTTAAACAGGTGATGCATACCACATAACTCAACCCCATGGTGATGGCAGAGGTGCTATTCTGGCAATGACCCGTGCTTTGAAACAGGTGAGGAATTAACATTTATTTTTTAAGTGGTCATATATCCATATGGTAACTAGAATGTTAGCAACATTTTTTTATGCATGTAAAGGCAAGTAGTCTACTACCTTGTACTGTAAAGAAGGTTGAAATCCTTCATTGATGATATATTTTATTGCTGATTGATTTCCAATATTCTGGTGAAGATTTTGTCCCCTTTATTCAAATAAAAAATTCCCCCTTTATGACAATAAGAAAAGAACACTTCCGTTGGTCGAGGATAGGCTCTTTCACTAACTGATAGAAATATCAGCGAGCCTTCCATGTTATATGAAATAAGATCTAGTGCAGATCAAGTCCTATTTGTATAAATAATGAAAGACTTGGTGCAGATATAGTCCTAATTATCTAAACAAGGAAAGAACATTTGGGTGGTTGAGGTAAGGCATTGACCCATCTTGTTACATAAGTACTTCAGAGAGGAAGTATGAGCTGGAGGACGACATAAATCTCACCTCCTAAATGAAGGACATGGAGAGATGCCTTACCTCTTAAGACTACTTTTGATTTATATTTGGAACCAGAAAAGTTATGCAGTTAACAAGGGGAAAAAGACATCTATCTATCCTATTTTACAGCTAGAAGGAAGGAAAGATATACAGACAGAGACAGAAAATCAGGAAACTCAAAATGGCTCCAACGAAGTACTAAAAGAAAAAAAAAGGGGAAAAAAAACTATTCCAGCCTATTTCAGCCATATTCTTCCTAGTAACAGTAATATCGTCTACATAAACAAGGACTGAAATCTTGCCTTTAGCATGCATGTAGAACATAGTGTAATCTGTTTGGCTCTGAAGTAATCCCATTTTTCGAACAAATTTTGTGAATCTTCCAAACATGTTATTAGCGGTTATTTCGACTCGTAAAGTGACATCTTCAATTTGCACACCTTTCCTTCAAATTTTAATTCAACAACATTAATAATGAAATAAAGATATTTTCTCTCTTTTGAATTCTACTTCCGTCTGTCTAATTCTTTTCACATTCTATCTCCCTAATTCTATCTGCTTCTCTTCGTCTCTTTTCCCCTCCATTTTCTTCCTCTCTTCTGTTTCCACTTTCCTATGATTTTTTTAATTGCTTCCTACGTCGCCCCATTTTCTCTTTCAAATTCATTGGTGACAATTGAAGTGATAGGCAAAATTCTTTTGGATATAAGCTTATCAAGTATTGAAAGAACATGCCTAACTGATCTCATTTTCTAACTCTCCCCTTTAAGAGAAGATCAGCTAAGCAAGTACTCGTTTTCAGAAAATTTGACATCCTTGGTGGTAAAAAATTAATGAGATGGAGGATGGAAGCATTTGTAACCCTTTTGTCGGATAATATCCAAGAAAGTGAATCTCCGATGAAGACTCTGGCGTGACCTTCGGTTACTGAGAAATGGAGCTCCCCTCACAATCCAAAATAACTCAGCCACCACACCCCCACACAATCGGCCTCACGCCATAAATCAGATCCTTCGACCAACCAGTTCACACACAGGCGGCGATTTCTGTGGAAACCCTAGAGCCGCCCAACCGATTTCCACCAGTTCCGGCCAGAGTTGGAGCAGACGCGCCTCACCGGTGGCATCAGCAGGGACCGGCGCCCCCCGCCGGTGACCTGCCTCCCACACGCGCCGCTCCGGCCGCGCGTCTGCCGGCGCGTGTGGTCCACGCGCCGCCGTCGGGACACCTGCAGCGGCAGCCTGATGCCACGAGATCAATCGGCTTGTCCGTTCTTCCCTTTGATGAATTGCTAATACACAATCAGGGGAAAAAGTTGGCAGATGTGCGTAGTTTGGTATTTAATCATCGTTTCAGAGTGGAGGCGAAGGACTTCGCCGTATCTATTAACGATTTTGGCACTGTTAAGTTGACAGAATGGGGTTCGAAGTTATCGGATTCAATCGTTATGGGAAGGTATGGTGCTATTTGGATGGTGAATATGGTAGACAGATTGAGGAAGAGAAGTGAAGTTGAGGAATGTGTTTTTAAGTTCAATGAGTCTTCAAGAGCTTTCTTGGCACAACGGTGTGTGAACCATCGAGGCAGATATTTAATGATAGCACAATATGGGGAGAGGCGTCGGAAAGGAGTTGTCATGATACCAGAAGGTGCAAATGGAGAGGGATGGGCGTCGGTCTTGCAGGTGTTTCAAGCAGTTGTTGACTCATTTGTTGCTAGGGATAAGGCCAAACGACAAACGGTGATTGAACGAAACAGACAGAGAATGACTTATGCAGAAATTACAGCAAACTCACAGACCTCGGAGAATGCTAACCAACAGATGTTTCAGCAAAAGGAAAGGAGAAATAAAGTCGGAGATAACGAAGGTCACGACATTTGTTTGAGTAGGGCTGAAATAATGACCCGTGCGCAGGAGTTGAAAGGAGATGAAATTGGTACGTTGTCACAAGTGTGGGGTTGAGTTGGATGAGGATCAAACCGGTGAAATACACGCATCGGGATTGACTCATGAGGAACTACCACCAATTACAGAACATGCAAAGCAGGGAGGAGATGAACATTGTGATTTTCAGGTGAGGATGGAAGCAGGATACAATGAAAACGATGACAGGGCTGACTTTGTGGGGGTCAACCGAACTGAAGTAGACACAGGGATTACAGTTGAACGAGAAGAGGAACCACTGTCTAAGGAAGGGGAGTTCAGTATGGTGAACTTGGAGAAATTGTCAATGGACACAGTGAAAGAAAACAACGATACACAAACG